TGTTTCTAATGAAACAGTAATGATAAAAAGGTAAATTATACACCATAAAAAAATGAAAAAACTCATTTTTGCATGTATGTATAAATATGTACATACAGTCGCTTATGGCTTGCCAATAATAATAATAATAATAATAATAATAAACTTTATTTCAACTGATGAGACCAATCAGCTATCTAAAAAGATTAGCTGGTATTAACTGGTGATCAGCATAATAAATATATAATAATAAAATCTAAAGTCTAAACTACAATACAATATCTAAAAAATCTATATAATAATAAAAATATATATATATATATATAAATATATCTAAGACACATATATATAAAACTAGACTAAATAACAAAATACTATACTTATCTTAAACTACATGAATGGCTAGACTCATCATGTTCAAGAAAATATTTAAAAACACTAGACTTGAACTTAGATAATGATTGTATTTCACGAATGTCCCTTRGTAAAAGATTCCAGTCCCTAGCAGCAGCACATTTAAAAGTCGTTTGAYCCATTTTGGACTTAGTCGCAATGATATCTAATAATGTGGAATCTCTAAAGTTCCTATTATGAAAGGATGACCTCTTAAAGAGATAGCCCTCTAACTGCAGTGGGCAATTTATAAATTCAATATTATGGTTACACTCAATAGTGATATATATATTTTTAAAGGGCCCCGCGGCCATAAATTTGGACATGCACTTTTTTAGACAGGCAAAACGTTTTTGGGTTTTATTTTTCTATTTTATTTTTCTTTCTTTTTTTTTTTTGTGAAAAATAATTCAGTTTGATGATCAAAACATGATATACATTGATTGATGGTGACAAGAAAGTATATCTATGCATATATGAATAGCCATAAGAAGAGACAACTAGATGCGTCGGTTTCTAATGAAACAGTAATGATAAAAGGGTAAACTTAACACCGTGAAAATATGACAAAACTTACTGATTTTTCGAAGTCCTTCGTCGGAGTAAAAGAATAAATAACCATAGTTCAGCTTAAAAGGTGCGCTTTTATTTGTTTTTTTCAAGTCGATTATTTTTTCAGTGTAAAACTGATTTGACTTTTTCAACTATAGTACACGTTGTAGGCTATGCGACATAAAGCTAAAACGATTACAGAACTGAGAAGAACAAATAGCAAAGAGCTAGAATGTACAGAAAATGAAAAAAAGAAATTGCGAAAAGGGATATATCTTATTATATATTTACAACGACCCCAAGCCCCCGACCCCAACGATCTAGAGTGGTCATCTGCATGATACTATGAATAGATTAAGTCATTTTAGCAAAATATTCTCAAGTTTTCGCGATTGAAGTCTTTTGTTTTAGCRTGTAGTTATCTCGCAAATAGCTTTATTAATGTCTTAGTATAGTTCTCAATTATAATGCAATTCTTCGATTCGATCTGGAAGTGTTTGTGGAGACCCTGATTCACTTTTTTTCGAGGCTTGAGATCCCCTTTGCTTCAGTTCTAAATTCCCTTCCTCTTCAACCGAAGACAGCTTGGATCTTCTCATCTTCAAACTTATTCTTTCCTTTAAACTACGGACACCATCGCCCATGAAAGAAATCCCTTTCACAGCTTTTCCCTTGAAAAGTGCTATCATCCCAGCTCGGATTCCTCGGCTGACAAAGCAATAAATTAGCGGGTTTATAGAGCTGTTGACGACCACGCAAAGAGCGACAACATATATTAAAAGAGGATAAGAAGGCAAGAAAAGAACCTCATGCCAGTAAAGTATAACAACCCGAAAGATATTGACAGGCATCATGGTGATGCTGAAAGCAAGTACCACAGGCGTGAGGATCTTTTTAACCTTCTTATTTTGTTGAAGTCTGCGTTTTTGAGTTCCCGAGAAGGGAGTGTTTCTTCGTTTTGAGATTTCCCGAGACAAGTTGTCCACTCTATTCATGGTTTTCAGGAAGATGTTACTCCGGTGAAGTTGCACAGATATTGCGATGTAAGTCCAGACGATGAAGCTAACAGGTATCGCGTACCATAAGAAAAAAAGCATCAGAATATAAACTTGCTGGACCTTTGGATCTTTAAAATACAAATGACAAAACCTCTCTTCACCTAGCTCCATGAATTCAATCCAGGCAAAAGTTGGCGCGCTGAAGACCAAGAAGCTCCCGATCCAAATACCAGCTGCGAGTCGTTTGGCATTCTTTAATGCTCGCTGCCTTCCTCTTTTGATAGGGTTAAACAAATGGCGGTAGCGTTCTACTGCAATACTAACGATCGTCCAAACGGACACGCCGTAAAACGTCTCTGTAATAGGGTAGAGGTATAAACAGGTGAATTTTCCAAATGGCCAGTGAAATGGCATCTTCTCTTTGATGATTGCAAGCGGGAATATGATCATTAGCACACCAAGATCTGCAATGGCTAGATTCCTTAGTAAGTACTCCGTGGAAGACCTTTTCTTTCTGTTCTGTGTAATAACAACACACACTGCAATGTTCCCAATAATGCCAAGCAATGCCACGATCGTTTCGAATATTATTTTAAACGCTTCAAGCTCAAGGAGTTTTTCCGTATTTCCAGTCACGTTGGTAAAATTATTTGTATGGTTGCTACTGCCATTAATATTGCCGTGGTTGAAAGTCAGATCTTCCATGATATACACTCAAATATCTCCAGCTAGAGTTATTTCCATGCAGTGTGTATGTTTAAACGTCTTGTATAATTTGATTTTATAGGTGACGTGTCTTGAGTCTTCTATTCTTTTCAGGAACAGGTGTTCAAAAATTCAACTGGATGCTGTTTGTTTTGATCATAAATCAGTTGTGTTCAACAGACTGTGCATTGATCAACGTACGTTTCTCTGGCTTTCTTTAAATATCTTTTTTCTGTTGTTTCACCAAGGCAATCTTCTTCCAATATTCTTCACCCGCCTCGCTTGAAGTTATCTGGAATAATAAATAAAGACAATGACAAAGATAGAAATTCAAAACAGCTCCCTTAAATCTTTTTAGATATCGATAACATTAACAAAGCTATCAACTTCAACTCGTGTCAAGGAAATAATGACCTGGCTTTGAGTATGGCACATCAGCTTTTCAGTAATTTAGCTTTCGTTTTGAAGGGTATAGGATCAATGTATGAAAACTTGCTAGAAACCACAGCTCGACCTCAACTTCTATTCTGAATTTCAAGAGCAACGTCTCGGCCGTTGTTATCCGACTCAACTCAGTTGTATATTAATTATTGCTAAATGATTATTCGTCGACCCATGTGGTGAAACGCTTTATGCATCGGCTGACAACGCCATTCTTATTATGCATGCTCGTGAGAGAGTACCGTCTCCATGGGGAAAATTTGGCTACAATAGAGTTATCAGCATTTAAGCGGTTTTATTTGAATGAAATTGGTTTTTCAAGCATAATTCTAAGCTTTAAGTGTGCAGTTGGACACCACGAATCTTTTAAATATTTGTATTTAAGTTATAAAATGAGTTGTGGAGGTCATTTGAAAAAATATRGTATAGGCTAGCTGCATGTCAATTGGGACGTGAGCTTCCTTTTCCCGTCACAACAGTTCTTTCTTTCTTTATATGATTCATGTTTTGTAAAATTAATACAATGATAAATAAACTAAACTGTAAGAAGGATTCAGTGGTTGTTTGACCTTCACTAGAATTGAGATAAAATCAAATACTAATGTTTTTCAACTTGGTCTTTACATAAAAGCGGTTTTTTAATACCGTCGATATTTCTGTTGCGACTGAGAAAGAAAGAGCGAGAGCCAGTGAGGAAAGGATAGTGGGAGAGAAGAGAAAACTTAGTCATCTATAAAAAGTTGAATGAGTTGATACACAGTGTTCAACTTATCATTATAATGGTTTTACATAACACGTGAAATGGATAGTAACCTAATAGAGGTACATTAGATCTTGGGTTCTTCTTTACACGTGAAATGGATAGTAATCTAATAGAGGTACACTAGATCTTAGAAACAGGTTATACTTAACCCGCGGAATGGATAGTAGACTAATAGAGATTACTAGATCTTGGGTTCTTCTTAACACGCGAAATGGATAGTAACCTAGTAGAAGTACAGTAGATATTAGTGTCTGTTTTAGTATGGTACAAATTAGCAAGACTGCCCAATACCTTACTTAGGTTAATAGTGGATTACCGGTCTTCAGCTTGGGATTCCCACACGCAATATGTGAAAAAACATTCAAGGGATTGAAAAAGAAAGGAACCTACCAAAGACGTCTTTCAGCACAGTCACAGTCTAGTTACTTCCCCACAATGTCGGAGTTATTATTGTAGTACAGTTGAATCTCCCTTAAGCGGACACCTTTGGGCAACGAAAAAAGTGTCCGTTAGTTGAGATGTGGACTTTTTGCAATTTTTTCCACAAACTTGATATCCGTCTGGTCCTTTTGTAAAAAGCATCGAGACGTTATATGATGCGTTTGTTAAGAACTTTATATCATTATTATTATGTAAGGGGTCTTTAAACGGACAAATAATGTTGAATGGTGCCGTTTTCCGTTAACGTAAGCATTTCTAAAGATTAATAATAGCATTTAGAAGAATAACCTGGCTAAATAATATACGGATTTATTCGAAAATACTTGTATTTTGACTATAGTTAAGCATTAAAATACAGACAGTTTTTTTTCTATTCCGAGTCCGTTTATAAGAATATTTGAAACAGTGTCCGCTTGAAAACAATAGAAACAGTCAATTGGGATTCGCTCTGCGGTGTCCGCGTCCGCTTAAGAGAAAGTCCGCTAAAGGAAAGTGTGAATACATTGTTTGTATGGGAGGAAAAACGGGGTTTTGGAAAGCTGTCCGTAATTAGAGCTGTCCACTTAAGAGAGCGTCTGCAAGTGGAGATTCAACTGTCTAATATTTGACTAGTGTAAGACCATTCAAGAGATTGAAAAAAAAGGAACCTACCAAAGACGTCTTTCAGCACAGTATCAGTCTAGTTACTGCCCCACAATGTCGGGAGTTATTATTGTAGTATAATATTTGACTAGAGTAATCTACTTTAGACTTTACTTCTCATTATCCTACCATCTTCACAGCCGTGATATGACCTTGCAGACAACATGACTCCACTCGGACTTTCAAGAGAGAAATTCCAAAAACAAAACAAAAACAGAAAAAAAAAAACAAAAAAAAAAACAAAACACTTTTTGAATAATTGGCTTGGTTGCTTAAAATCTAAGACGACAAATTGAACTTTTATTTATTATCATTGCTGAACATACTTTAAAAAATATCCTCAAGTAGCAAGCTTTGACTCACATCAAAACGGCTTTAAAACTGAGGGAAATGTTAACCAAAGACGAGACTGAAAATACCTTTTTTATTTTACTGCAAATTCGTTTGAGTTCCATGAATGAATGCTCCAAAGCGTTACTACGCAACATGGAAGCTATCCTCAATGGAATGACACTTACACGGGCAATTTTTAGGTCAAATTACGAATATCCTTTTACAAAAGGTGGACTATTTAACTCTCATTACGATGGAAACTCATGTTTTGAATTATATTCTCTGAGCTGAGATGAATAGGAAATATCATAAGAGAGTCAATTTTGGAACGGAATCAGGTTATGATTAAATTTGGAGTTTGTGCTTATCCTTTTAGTCAAAATATAATGTTCTGAAAAAGAACTCACAGAAGAATACCAGAAAATACACACGGACAATGTTTCTTCACGTAGTTTGTATTTTCCTGAGAGCAGCGCAATAAAATAACCAGTTGAAATAGAGATGTTGACTACTACTTTTTACGCCAATTGCCAATGAACAGTTAAACCCCATCCAAACCCTCTGAAAGGGATCCTACRAGCTTGCATTTGAATGAGCATTAAAATATCAAAGCGTACACATCCTCCTTGGTGATTCTAATGCAGGGCGTGCCTATCACGTAGATTGAACCTTACAACAATCACCGTGGGGCTGATCTAAGTCAGGGCACGGCTAATTCACAGATCAAACCCCGAAACAACCTCTGGGCTGATCTAAGTCAGGGCACGGCTAATTCACAGATCGAGCCCTGAAACAACCTCTTGGGCTATTCTAGGCAGGGTGGCTAACTCGCAGATCCGAACCTTGAAACAATCGCCGTGG